ATCGTAAATAAACTGAAAGCCTTTAAATCCAGGTTCTTGGAAACAAGGTCAGATAAGAATCTCGTCTGATGATCCCGGTTTTCTTTCGTTTTCAGTCCGTCAACTTTTTTACGCCAGTGAGTGAGTGGATAAGTAACGTGTCCAACAAACTGTCTGTCACACTGTCGATAAAAAAGCCTGTGTGCGTCCAGCTTCCTTCTTATCGATGCCCTTCAATTGGCGAAGCGGATAGTCATTTCCACTCTTGCTTCGTCTGATTTTTATCAGTAGCGGATTGTGGAAAAAAACACGTCGCTATCACCAGTAGTTTGCTCAGGGATACAACGACTGAATTTAGAAGCTTTTGTTTTAATTTGTAGATCGATAAATAAATGGCGCGCCCACAAAAAACTTTGCAAGATGGACTCGATTCGGCATGCGTTCACGTTATGAGTGATGGACTGTCCCAGAGGAAGGCCCGCAGTATTATGATCAGTTTGGATGGAACATACCTTTTGTGCACACGTCATCCTATTCTCAGAATTGTGGCTGTGTGATTTGATACAGTGTGAAGTAAACCTGCTAACGCAGACAAGATGATCCAGACCGTAGAGATAACACTTAAATCTGCACCCTAATATACGTGAAGATGGAATATACTACCCATAAGGTTGCTGAAAGCTCTCCAACAACCCGCGAGCAGTTTTTGCCTTTTCACCTCGGGCTGGAGTTCAACTTGAAAGCAAATTGTGTGAAATTCGCTCATTCGCACACCAATTTGACTTTAGCTAATCCCAGCCGAGTCCCTCGGCAGTCGTATCCCTCAGCAGGAAGCTTTTCGTAAGAACCCGATTCGTTTGGAAATGAGTGAAGTTCGTGTAGCAAACCTGTTTTTCAATTGAATGGCCTCGAGATGTAGTTGGCTAGTGCTGCTTAAGAGTAGTATGTATCCGTCTGTTTGATGTGAACTTTTGGCTTGAAGACTGGTGGTTTTCGTATCTTCTAAAAATATCCTCTGGAAAGCCTCTAATCCAAGGAAGTCACATGGAAACTAACCAAGTAGATACGTATTTTAAAGCTGTGTCCCGTTTTTATTGATTTGACCTTCGATTGGTTTGGTTAAGTAAACTAAAGTTCGCGAGTATACACTCATTTGCAAACTAATTTAGTTTTNAGTTCAACTTGAACGCAAATTGTGTGAAATTCGCTCATTCGCACACCAATTTGACTTTAGCTAATCCCAGCCGAGTCCCTCGGCAGTCGTATCCCTCAGCTGGAAGCTTTTCGTAAAAACCCGATTCGTTTGGAAATGAGTGAAGTTCGTGTAGCAAACCTGTTTTTCAATTGAATGGCCTCGAGATGTAGTCGGCTAGTGCTGCTTAAGAGTAGTATGTATCCATGTCTGTTTGATGTGAACTTTTGGCTTGAAGACTGGTGGTTTCCGTATCTTCTAAAAATATCCTCTGGAAAGCCTCTAATCCAAGGAAGTCACATGGAAACTAACCAAGTAGATACGTATTTTAAAGCTGTGTCCCGTTTTTATTGATTTGACCTTCGATTGGTTTGGTTAAGTAAACTAAAGTTCGCGAGTATACACTCATTTGCAAACTAATTTAGTTTTTCGAGAGATTCACCTGGAACCCAGCTGAGTAGTACATTAGAAATATATATATGTATCGCGATACCTCGAATATAGTAGCGACTGAAACATGAGGCGGCCTGGTGCAGCACATTCAGTTGTTTGAGAACATCATGAACAAACGAGAGATTCAGCTGGGTTCCAGGTGAACCTCTCGTTTGTGATGTTTCCAGGCAATTGAATGTGCTTCACCAGGCCGCCTCATGTTTCAGTCGCTACGAAACTCGGGGATCGCGCCTACCTGATGAGCCCCAAAAAGGGCGAAACCGGTCGTGGGCTGTCGACGGATTTTCAGCAACCTTGTGAGTAATACATTACAAAGATAAACTAAAGTTCATTCAGCAGAGAAACTTTTGAAAATCTCGCTAGATGTTCACCCTTTCACGCTTTCCACTTGAGGACGGTACCTAGTTTTTTTACTGAACTAGTGAGACTACTCCTCAGTGTATCCCATGCCAAGTTAGCTAGTACATTTACAGCTCGGAGTACGTAATCCTCAGTATGGTGTAAGTCCACGAAGAATGCGTTTCTCGAGGACCCCTAGGGTGCATGTTCCTCAGGGAAGCAGGACTTGAATACGGACTCGGAGCGGCAGATGTGAGTGGTGGCGTGCTATGTATCAGTGCTGGGATTCACATAACAATGAGTTTTAAATGGGACAGAACTGGAGCTAAGAGACCACAGTGGAGAAGAATGGGAGGCGTCACTAGTCATACACACTACTGTATGTAGGGAGTAAGGCAACCAGGCTATAACCACGTGACGGTTCATGTGACATGAAGGTACTTCTATCCGCAAAGGTTATGGATCCATCCTACTTTGTTATAGATTCAACACACTGCTGGAAAAACGACTGTCTTAAAGCGGTCAAATGGAGCTTACTCAATAAATAAGTGCACCAATCAGGAGAAACTGACTGGTGACACACTGTTCATGTGGACGGAATAGTTTTCATATCAGGAGATCGAGAGTCCTCTTGACTATTGATCGAAGAATGAAGAGACACATATAGTTAGCCTGAAACTTGCAATCCCCTCGGCGTACACAAAGTACAGATAATATGCTCCGGGAGGAGAAAGATCCTTGAATAGTGTGTCTGGTAACACCAGTTTAAAAGATGTGAATCGCTTCATCGAGGGATTGTAAGGCCATGTTCTGTATACTTGTGTTTGAGTGGAACACTATGCGTAGTTTTTAGCTACCACTCAGGGTTTGCTGGCTGAGCACTGTTCATAACTTGGGGAAATAAGTATACTACTGTGTATCACAACTTGCGAGATAAAATCCCAAAGATGATCACGAACTGGCGTACTGAGGCTGGGATTAATATGACCTTATTCGTCGTCTTGAATATGAAACAACCTGTTAGAGCTAATGTCTTTTTTTTGGGAGGGGGGGGGAAGGGTTCGGCAACAATGGTCATGGCGGCCATCCCAGCTTTGTTTTGTTCCTGGCTAATCTCTACCAACCTCGCTCTTGGTTTCCTATTGGTTCTGATTCAGCTCACCCAAGAGTAGCACCGATCTGTTTACTGAAAGGAGCTGGCACGATCAATAAATAATCACCGACGGTTTAATGCGTTGCCGAGTCTTCCTAGTCTTCTTTCTGTTTACAGAGAGGAGAACTACCCCGAAAACTGTTTGAATTACTTTCACCATGAGTAAATTAACTCCCGATAACTGTTCACCATTTTTTCCTATTGATTTCAGACACCTGCTGCAATCAGTCATTTCAGCTGGGGTGTTATACCTCTGGCAGACATGACGAAACTACCGTGGTACTTGTTGAATGAAATCGGGAATTTGCTGGTCGTGGTCAACTCGGCAATCAATCTGGTGCCCTACTATCTGTTCAGTCGACGATTCAGAAGACAATTCACCCTTTTATTTTGTCCATATCGAATTATACGAGACGATGGATTGCATTGCGTGTACGTTCCACGATGGATTGCAGATCACTGGGAGAAAGATCTGTCTGACAACTGGATTTCCACCGCGGATGGTGCCGGGCCGACTGGCGCGGGGCCCGCTGGCGACGGCACTGGTGGTGGTGGTGGTCGAAGTGCTCCGGTCCCCCTCAATGCACGTCTTATAGCCTATCATCGACGTCAGAGTACCATGCATTCGATTCGACCCAGTGTATCGAGCGCTCCGTTTGGCAAGTCCTCCTTACGTCCATCTGGTGGTCGAACCGACAGAACATTCTCCAACGGCCAGCGCGTGAGCAGTGGCATTGGCCTTCAAACGAGGCATCATTCAGGCTCTAGAGAAGGCAGTTTCGGCTTGGCTCTTACCCCCAGAGGTTCCAGAAACAAACAACTCATGCAACAGCGAAGACAAACCCAACAACAACAAATACGTCAGGCTGGGCTGCAAGAGTGCAACCAATCAAATGATTTCACCACACGCCTTCATCGATCTTTGGACTCCAGAGATGTTCAACCAGTAGTTTTTGTGCACAACATTGTATAGTCAGTCACATGTTTCGGATTTGGGGCGGTCCCCTTTCAAGGTCACCTTTAGACACACGGCTGTGTGTAACTGGTTGAGGGTGTCCGTGCAAAGTTGAAAAAACTGCGGTAGGATACACGATGAGTCATCCTTAGACGTCATTGGACACTTACCAAACGGTGTCATGCAGCGTAGACAAGTATTCAAAAACCAGCTGGCGACAGGTGACAGGCAGACAGGTGACAGCCGGAGAGATAGAGGAGAGGACACACTCGTGTACAAACAGGCATAAAGGTCATGCAAGCAAAAGGCACATCGACGCGACGAATCCGGTTTATGCAATGGACCCTTTTCTATGCAAAAACTTTGTACACTAATACAACACTGCATTAAAATCAGGCTTCATTCTGAGTGAAGGCGGATGTCAGTCCTGCTCACAGGCGAACACAGTTCTCCAAGAGGGACACCTACCCAAGTTAAGCTTTGAGAAGGTGTTCATTGAGGCAATAAGTCGTCTATCACGCAGCATTCAAAGTTCACCTGGTCAGGAGTTCAGTCGAGAAGGTCTGCTTCGTTCCAATCGGTTTTCGAAGAGATCTGCTTTGGGTAGGTAGAGAGCTTGAGACATTTCATGTGAGTGGATTATACCGACGCTATTCCTGACATTTATTCCAAATCCTGAGTATGTCTCTGTGTAATGAGGTTCCTATGGTATGCTGCTAATCAGCCATATTGACAATATGCAGTGAGCAGTTTAATATTGCCGGGATGAGGGAGACAAAGGTAGTTAACAACGGAAAGCCTAGTATTGTTCCGCGAATCTTGAATAACGAAATGCAGTATGGTCAGCGAACAGTGAATTGTAGCTTTGTTTGATTCACTAGATTTCTCACAGACTCAGTAATTCAAGGACGATCGCACTTGTAAAGCAGTAGGTTTAAAAATGCCCTGCGGAACGACTAAAATATTTTGAACAGGACACTGGCGACGGGGATTTGTTGAACAGTTCGGACGACCTCGAAATTACGGTTGCTGGATCGATTCGGAGAGGCTTAGACTATTACAGGAGTATTTAGTGATACTAGATGGTGGTGATGCCTCAGCTTAACACCCTGTTGAAGGTGGGCGTGTGACTTTCGGGGACGATGTTTCTGAACACTTGGACCGAAAAGTGAATATGCCGACCAGGTTCACTTTGTCCAAATTTGGTTGCGTGCACAGAGCATGGTCCTAGAACGAGTGCAATAAAGGATGACCCAACAGTCGTCTCGTACTGCGCCACTCTGTCCAACCCGTTTTGATAAACGACATGGAGTATCGGGCTAACATAAAATTTGGCGTCACTGAAGGATAAACGGCAAATATAAGCACAGTTTATGTCAGGATACTGACAGCTAATTTTTTCGCCGGTTAAAACATAAGGGATCCGTATCGTCTGGTTTTTCGTGCCGGATAGGTTATCCTGGTAATCGATAGCCTTCGGCAATGTTCTTTAATCTGGCCCCCAGACACTCTAGATATGATGAGCGTAAATCAATTTTTGCGTTTAACGACAAAATGATTAGAATGCAATGGCAAATTTTCTTTGTTGAAAGGAAGAAATTATCAAAGACGATACTTCCTTCATTAGGCCTTCAAGCCGTTGTATTTTGAAAGCTACAGCCTCAGGTGTGTTCGTATATTGGAAGTTGTATTAATTCTGATTGTAGTGTGACAGATGAGGTGAATGCACGAATCTGCAAGACTCGGGCCGCGTTTGCTAA